TTGAGAAAGCAATTTCTCAAAGAGGTTTGAGGGTCACCGCCTAGTCAAGATTTTATAGGTTAGCCTCATGTTTAGCTCCGACCGGTCAGGGCTTGGAGAATCCAAATGAGAAAAATAGAACTCGCGTATTTATTAAGTATTCATCCTGTAGGGAATGGTCAAGACTTATGGGACATTAGTTCGATTCCAGACATGAGCCCATTACATGGCATGTGCATTTTTATTTCGTACGGGAAGCCACTCTTTCAAATGCATTATCCGAGTTTGGAAGGACCAGTGCACATGTGCTTTGAGAGGATCCTTGTAATTGAGTTAGATCATATCCCACAAGGGTACATCTATAATTAATTGAGAGTCGGATGATCGGAAGTTTTGGCTCAACGGCTTTGATATGGCAAATTATGTGTTCTTGCTTTAGAATGTCGAACATAGGTCTATTGGGTAGTTTTGAGACTCGGCGGAACATCATTCGGGACTAGCTCAATGGAGTACTCCGATACCTACAGTTATTAGCCTGAGATCGCACTATACCTTTTGTCCGATTTTATAATGATGAGAAAAACCTAATAATTGCTCGAAAATACTTTAAATATTTATTGTGAATTTTAGAGAATTTTTAGGAATTTTTATTTGCTAAAAAAATGAGGTTTTTTGAATTGTTTGACTCAAATTCCACTTTAGTCTTGGCTCGGTAGTGCCATGTGGTGTCTGAGTGGCCATAGGGCTGCCACGTGGCACCCCCACGCCTCACTCTAGGATCGCCGCCCAGCTAGACGTTGATCCCTAGGCAGGGGGGATTAGATTGGCATTTGGTTGCTTGCTTTTTAACGGGTTGTCTTATTGTGTCTTGTTATATATTGTTATATAGTGTTATAACTTAAGGCCCCCTTTTAATCACATGTCTTAATTAACTCACACATGGGCCATGCAAGGCATGTGTGAAGTTTAATTAATTAATTTATTTGATATTAAAGGGAAAATAAAATTTCAAATTTGATTTGAAAAATATCTTCACACATGTGAAGGGGACATTATTTTTAAATTGATTGGTTTGAAATTTTAGATCTAGAAAGTGATTGGCTTTGATAAAGTAGAATATCTTCACATGTGTGAGTTTTGATAATTACTTCTTTGCCTTTTACCCTTGGTGGTTATCTATTCTAATACATTATTATTTTGTAAGGGCATATTGGATACAATTGGAATAAAAACATGGGTCAAGGACAAAATGGTAAAGTGGCATAACTTAAGGTTAGGGTGAGTGATAATGGTGTGAAATTCCATCTCTTCATCCTAGTGGTTGGATGGGGATGGGGATGGGTTGCTGGGTACATTAACCTCTCATGTACCTTTGGATTAGTGCATCAAGGGTGTTGATTGAGTTCACGGTTACACCCATGTTATAAAAGCACATCATGAGATTTCAAACTTTAACTATCTCAACTCTTGAACTATTTTGGAAAATTTGTGCCCCCCATTTTTTTAGAACTTTGTGAGAGAAAATTGAAGAGAGAGAGAGACGCCACGTTTTTCTTATAAAAGGGTTTTAGAGTTTCATTGATGGTGATCTTGATGGTGGTTCTCCTTTCTTATGCTTAAGTCCATAGTGTGCATTTATCAAGGTAAACTCAATTTAATTTTTTTTCTCATAAGTTCATATTCTTGACATCTATAGTTGTTGGAGTTTTGAATTTACAAAAGTTTAATTAATTTTAGAATCCCCATTTGATCATCTTTTTTATCATGCTTATTCATAGTGTGGTCCTTCATGAGTTGTAGTCTATATGCTTGAGAATCCATGATCATGCATAATATCCATTGATTACTTTGCTTCAAATCCAAATACTTTAGTCTCAGTGTGTTACTGAATTTTCAGAAGGTTTTCATCACGTGTTTACCTATGGGGGTTCATAATCTTTTCATACAAGACTGTTTTGGTGGTCCGAGGGATCGCCGTGTGTAGTTTGGCCATAACTCTCATGTTTTTTATCCGATTTGATTCAAACCTTTTGCATTCTGTTTTGGATGATAATACCAGTGTGTTGTGATCTTAAGAACTGATTTTAAGGTATGTAGTTGCTTCCCATTTTGATTAGACACTCTTGCGTGGCCTTGGCACAAGGGTTTCGAAACATGGCTTCCCTATTTTAATTTGGCATTCTAATTCTCTGTTTAGTTGATTTTATTCCTTAGAATTTTGTTTAGATAAGTTGTATGTTGTATTTAAGCTTTGGGACATAGTTTATGTAATTTGTGCTATGAAAGTGTAATTCATAAGCTAGTCTTGCTTTATATGTAATTGCCCCTTAAGGGGTTGGTATTTGAGGTTTATTTACAGTGGTTTTACAAGGCTAGAAACGGTTTTAATTGTTATTTAAAGGATTGTAACTTATTCACTTAGCTTGGTTTTAAGCAAGTGGCTTGTTGAAGATGTGCATTTTGCCTTTTTTTTGGCTTGGAAATTTGCTCAAGTATTTGTATCCATTATCACAAGTAACCTACTACAAAGTACTCTCGCAACACTGAGAATATTTTCTTTTTTCTATCACATTGAACACTTTAATGATAAAAAGACTGTGACAATAACTATACCAGTTACCTGAAAAACATCCACGAAAGAATAAAATCTCAAGATTAGGTATTGCAAGTGACATGGCACGCATAGAAACATTCTCCATTACATGAAGCATCATCATCTTGCAGAGTTCGTTAAAATCTATAAAGTAGAGTAGAAAACTACCAAGGGTAGTGGCAAAGAAGTAATTAGCAAAGCTCACACATTTGAAGAGATTCTACTTTATCAAAGCCAATCACGTTATAGATCTAAAATTTCAAACCAACCAATTCAAAGATAATGTCCCCTTCACACATGTGTGTGAAGATATTTTTCAACTCAAATTTGAAAATCGATTTTCTCTTTAATATTACTAAACAATTGAATTAAACTTCGCACATGCATGGCCCATATGTGAGCTAATTAAAATGTGATAAAAAGGGGCCCTTAAGTTATAACAATATATAACAAGATACCATAACACAACCAAATGGTAAACTGGTCCCCCCGTCTAGTGATCAGCGCCCAGCTGGGCAGTGATCCTAGGGTGGAGCGCGGGGTGCCATGTGGCAGCCCTGTGGCCACTTGGACGCCACATGGCACTCCTAGGTTATGACTAAAGTGGAATTTGAGGCAAACAATTTGAAAATCCTCATTTTTGAGCGAATAAAAATTTCAAAAAAATATCTAAAATTCACAATAAATATTTAAAGTATTTGTGAGTAATAATTTGGCTTTTCTCATCGTTATAAAATCGGACAAAGGTATAGTGAGATCTCAAGCTGGTAACTGTAGGTGTCGCAGTACTCCATTGGGCTAGTCTTGAATGATGTCCTGTCGAGTTTCAGATCAACCCAATGGGCCTATGTTCGACAATTTAAAGCAGGGACACATAACTGGCTACATCAAAGCCGTTGAGCCAGAACTTCCGATCATTCGACCCTCAATGGATTACAGGTGTACCCCTGTGGGACATGATCTAACTCAATTACAGGAGTCCTCTAAAAGCACATGTGCACTAGCTTTTCCAAACTTGGATAATGCATTTGGAAGAGTGGCTTCCCGTACGAAATGAAAATGCACATGCCATGAAATGGTCTCGTGCCAGGATACAGACTTATGTCCCATAAGTCTTGACCATTCCATGCAGGGTGAATACTCAATAAGTACTTGGGTTTTATTTTTCTCGTTTGGATTCTCCAAGCTCTAGCCAATCACAACTAAACATGAGGCTAACCTATAAAATCCTGATTAGGAGGTGACTCTCACACCTCCTTGAGAAATTGCTTTCTCAACACGTGAACTCTCGATCATGCATTCTCGAGGTAAAAGAATCTGGGCCCCATTTAGCTAGGCTTCCAAATTTCGATATCTTAATCGCTCCCATTGAATGAGAGCTTACTAGAAGCCATATTTCCAACAGCAACCATGTGCAATAAAAATCCGAGAACAACAAACAAGAGATGGAATCAACAAACCACAAAAGGAAATCAACAAACCACAAAGGAAATCAAGAACAAATGACAACATCGATTATACGTGGTTCGCCACTAAGGCTACATCTACGGGCAAGGCTTCAAGCACAAATTCCACTATCAAAGAGAAATTTATAATGTAGGATGCAATGTTACTTCAATGAAGAGATCAGTGAACACCCAATCCCTTTCTTGAAAGCTCACAAAATCTTTACACCAAGAGGGGCAACAGGGGTCCTTCTTCAACCCCTTCCCCCCCCCCCCCCAAAAAAAAAAAAAGAGAACAAAAAGAAAAAGAAGTTGATTTTCTATCACCATGAACTGTATATTTGTTTTCTCTTATGCAATCTACGATAATTTGTCTATTCTTATTACTATAATTATTATATTATTTTCTGTTTTTCACATGTTTTTGACTTTTTTTATTGTTTTTCAAGCTACTAACATTCAGTTTTTTCATTTTTAATGTCATGTACTTTTCTTTTCTTTTAAATTTTACGAGGCGATTTTGGATTTTTATTATTTTTCTTAATTTTTAGGGCTTTATTTTTCACGAATCTTGGGGTCTTTTTTGGGGGGCTTTGGCATGTTGACTCGGGCTCTGTTGGATCACTCGTCTGGAAATGACCGGTGTACCTTGCCCATGCACCCTGTTTTAGAACCTTTAACTTATTTTTTAATTTGAATTGACCTCTTGTCGTTGTTGGAAAACATGCTCTTATATTTGCATGTATCCTGGAAGCTTGACTCGTCATCAGTTATACTCGTTTTATGCTAAAAAGCAAGTGTTCCTTTATAAATGCTTTTGGGGAGTTTTCTATGCGTTCATGGTTTATGGTCTTATGCGCCATGGTAGAGTAGTTTAATCTACAGTTATGGAGAAAAATATAATTATCAATATGTCTATCTACTGAAGCTCATGTGGGAAACCCATATCATTTTCTTGTTCGTTGTAAAATTATTTTCTATAGGTATACAAAAGCCTTGGAAGTCATAAAAAAGCTTCACAAAGACCAGGCTCAGGAGATAAAGATGTACAAGTTAAAGTTAGAGAATCTTCAGACATTAAGGGATGCTGCATTCAAGGTATTCCTTCAATCATCAATTGTTCACTATAATCAAAGTTTGTTACTTGTACCATCAGCAATTATGATTTTCTTTTGGAGACTTTGTCAGAATTTCATTTGTTACATAACATTCGACCCCTTATATGATTATTTTGGTTTTATTGCATTCTTCTTTTACTAGTAGTGTCTATGTTCGAGCTATTTAGCCATGAAAGTGGTAGCACTGAGTTTCATAATTGAAGTGTTAATGTGGGGAAGTTTTTTGCTTGAATACGAGGACTTTATGCTTAACATAACAGATGTTCCAAAATAAATAGTTCCCAATACAATGACATGGGATTTTACATATTGGGTCTTGGTATACTTATTTCGCAGCTCAAACCCTTGTCAACCTTCCTTTCAATCTTGCAAATAACACTGAAATTCTTTCTGAGAGCCACACCCACATAAAAATGCATCCTTCAGTCTATATTCTTATGGTCATGATGCTGGATGGCATGTGATCCAGAGTTTTGTTCCGCATTTTTAAATTCCAATGTTGATTCTAAGGGTTTTAAAGAACAAGATATAGGATAGTTAAGTTTTCAACCAATTCCCTTCATTCAGTATGCTCATCAAGAGAAACTTTGTTATTATTTCATTGAACCTTGTTTGTTTTCTGGTCATCAAAAACCGAAATTCAGATCTCAGAGCTATAAAAATATCTTGAGTACTATTACTATTTTTACTGATTTTGTATTGTTGAGGAGAGGAGAGAGAGCTAGGTTCAAGAGAAGCTGCTTTAATTTGTGCTATGCTACATGTGGCTTGATTAGGTTCAACACACACATGGCTCTGGAAAAAACTAAATCTGTTTTCAATTGTTTCTAAGGAATGAGCTTCCCTTTTTGTAGTTGTTCTGCTGTCCAAATGGGACCTTAGAGTAGGCAAGTGGATCACAAGCAGCAGTCAATGGCCTTGCATGTCTAACTCTAACGCTAACCTGCAGTGGCTCCAAATGTCCTCTCCAGAAATTATCTTCTATACCTACACTTTCCTTGAAGTAACACCTTTCTGTCCTTCAGTTATTTCAAACTAATAATTAGTCAAAGAAAATTGAGAGCTGTTAATAATGTTACAATTAGAAAGTTGGAACCATCTACAGTAGGCAATGTTGCAACTGGAACTCCCTTATTGAAGATTTAATAGTTATATGGTAATTGTTCATTAGGAACAATCCCATGGGATCATGACAGTTGGTGCTTACTTCAGGTTGAATCTTATTAAAGTCACCTCAGTAGAAAGTCCACCTGGGTTATGGAAATTTTTTTTTTGCTACCTGTTGGATATTTTATTATCACCCTTAGTCAAGAATGTGCTTAAGTACTTAATTTACTACCATTGTCTTTTAGTTAGCTTGGTATCTTGTAACTTTCATTCTGTTTGCTTCAGTTTATTCTTAGGCTCTTGTGATTTTTTGCTAAGAATGAGTGATCCTGTTGCACAAGTACACAGCTATTCTCTAATATTGTGTTCCTGCAGCTCCGTGAAAACATTGCTCTAGATCATGAGAAAATTGAGTCCCTCAAATCCCAAGTCCAGGAACTTGAAAGGAACATTCATGACATGGACAAAAAAATCCAGGCCACAGAAACAAATCTCAATGAATTGAGGAAGCTACAGGAAGAAAAATCACATTGTAACACTAAAAGAAGTACACTGTACAAACTGCAACAAACGCAGTATGCAGCTCTTGCTGAAGAGAATGAAGGTATGGAGTATTTGCAGGGGAATGGGGATCACGTGGAAAGCCTAAATTGATCGTGGTGTTGTTGTCGTGATATTGTTAATTTCAATAGTACGTACTATCTAGATGCTTTTATTTGCAGACACGGATCAGGAATTATTGGAATGGCAATCTAAGTTCGAAGAAAGAATCACATTGTTGGAGACTAAAATAAGCAAGCTGGAAAGGGAGCAGGGGGATACAACGACAACCAGTTCTTTGCTTTCCGAGAGAATTAATGAAGCAATCCGCGAAGTTGGAAAGCTCCAGGCTGAAGCCGATGTAAAGTGAAAGAGTCCATGAAGCGTAAAATTTGATTTATATCACAGTTTTATTGCAGAGTTACAAATGTGACATTTTGTTTCAGGCTCATGCATCGTTAAGGCATGAACGAGACACATGTATCCAGAAATTTTTTATGAAGCATAATTTGGGCTCTGTTGAGAGCATTCCTCTTAGCAATGAGGTGGCTTTCAACCTTACTAACCGAGCCAAAACGAGACTGAAAGATCTTCAGAAAGACTTGATTGATAAAAAGGTACATATTTCCATGAGTTGCAACCTGGAATATCCTTCTTTGGCGTTAAATAAGAGTACTACTTGAATTTGAGGATTATTTTTATGTTGGTGCAAGCCAGTGTATTGCTGGTTTCGTAACTATACTTATATTTCTCTTTGTTCTTGTTGGGACCAGATCATGGACCTTGCAGTCTTAACTATATTACTATTTCTTTTTGTTATTATTGTATTTAAATTATGAAGTGAAGATGGTTTCTAAACCGAGGTAATTTTCTTTTACATTAATCTGCTCTGATTTGCTTCGGGATTTTGTAGTTCACAAGTAGATTAATTGTATTCTAGTTTATAAAAAAAAAAAAAATGGTTTGAGTACTTTAAAAAAAAAAAGTTGTGCTGTGGTCGAAGTCTGCTCTATGAAAGAATTGGAAGTAATGTTATTTACATATTTGTCTTTTAGTTCTTAGATACTAGAAGATGCACATTGTAATGCTTTTGTTTCTACGTTTTTACTAGGAGATTTGAGTGGATCGAAATTTGTAATGCCGTAGTAATGTACTCAATATGGATCATTTGGGTTCCCTGTGTATCCAACGAAATGGTGTATTGTCAGGTTTGAAATGTGGTAACATGTTTCCCACTTGTTTCACCTGCAAAGCATGTTTTCAGTGTATGCAAAAAAGCAGAGAAAAAGAAAAAAAAAGAAAAAAAAAAAGGAAAAAAAGGAAAAAAAGGAAAAAAAGGAAAAAAAGAAAAAAAAGAAAAAAAAGAAAAAAAAG